AGAAATCCTCATGCAAATTACAAATGCTAACTAAGTGACAGAAGGTTCACAATCTCCCCCCCGCCACCTTCTCCATGGAGGAAGACTGGGAAGCACAAAGTTCTGAGGCCTTTAACACATTCATGAATAGAGCAAAGTTAAGACAGAATCTCTAAAGCTAAACTTAAGATTAGAATCACAGAATCTTAAAAATGTTAATGCCAAAAAAAACACTTGGAGATCAGCCCAACCCTCTCTCCTTTTACAGATGAAGAAATACAAGACCAAGAGGTTAAGTGATTTGCCCAAAATTGCCCAGTATGTTCCATGATTTCTTCAAATATGTGTTATTTCTAGCCTCTGCATCCTCCCCTTCTTTCCTCTAACCAAACTCTCCCAACCCCCTATCAATGACAGTAGCAATTTCAACTGCAGAGAAGGAGCCTGTGTACCCCATGCCCTAGTAAGATTGAAAGTTCCTCGAAAACAAAGGCTGTGCCTGTGTCTCGGTGCCTACAAAAGAGCCCTCCATGTGCTCACACATCCCCACTGACTGACTGAGCGACACACAGTTCTCTCTTCTTCCTGTAGGAATTTACTAAGCATTGAATGAATGCTACATAGCAGACCCACTGCAGATTCAGGCAGAGAATTGCCCATCTAACCAAAAGAAAGAGTTTCTAGGGAGCCCTGGAAGATGCCAACATCTTGGGGGCCACAGCTTTGCCACTCTATGTCAATGGCTGTTGTCTTTATCCCCTACCCATTCCACTGCCGTTCCCCCTATTTGCCTCTGGGGTCACCAAACCTTCTCTTGGTTTTTCTTCTAATGGGAAAGAAGAGACATAATTGAATAGCACTCACAAGTCGAGATTCAAAAGCAGAAAGAGAATCTTAGTATGACCCCACTCTCGGGATTTACAAACAGACTGAAGCAAGTGCTGACTGTGCCAGAAGACCCCGAAGAGCAGAGGATGCAAGCAGGAGGGAGGATGGCAGGATCCCAGAGGCAGAAAGCCCATGGGATGCCAGGAGGAGTGTCGAATCTAAAACCCCGTTGGGTTCCCTTCAGAAGTCACATTCCTTCTGCACAACACAATTCTCTGAGCTATCCAGGCCTAAAGCCTTGAGTCTCTCCTGACTTCTCCACTTTCCCTACCCCTCATCTAATCTAGCCCCAAACCCCACCCTTTCTTCCCTCTTTCATCCAGCTACTGTCATGTAGTTTGAAACTGCCATATCCAAGTCAAAACTCTCATCATTTCTCATGTGGGCCACACAATAGACTCCTAAATTGTCTCCCTGCTCAGACATTCCTCTTTCTAATTCATCCTGTGTACTGCAGTCTCTGGTGACTGACTTGTCCCAGGCTGCCCAGAACTCTCCCCATTTTAGCACTGTAAGTCTCATGCCCTGGGAAACCCCTTAGTCCCAGACAAACTGAGACAGCTGGCTGCCTTACTACAGTCAGATTAAAATCTTCCCCCAGACAATGCTTTGATCATGTCATTTTCCTGACCAAAATGTTCCTTGTTTCCCATTTCTCATTAAAACTAACCTTAGGGCGCCTGGGTGGCTCAGTTGGTTAAGCAACTGCCTTCGGCTCAGGTCATGATCCTGGAGTCCCGGGATCAAGTCCCGCATCGGGCTCCCTGCTCGGCAGGGAGCCTGCTTCTCCCTCTGACCCTCCCCCCTCTCATGTGCTCTCTGTCTCTCTCATTCTCTCTGTCTCAAATAAATAAATAAAATCTTTTAAAAAAATAAATAAAACTAACCTTAAAGGGGTATCTGGGTGGCTCAGTTGGTTGAGCGTCTGCCTTCAACTCAGGTCATGATCCAGGGGTCCTGGGATCAAGCCCCACATTGGGCTCCCTACTCAGCAAGGAGTCTGCTTCTCCCTTTCCCTCTGCCCCTCTCCACTGCTCATTCTCTCTCTTTCTCAAATAAATAAATAAAATCTCAAAAAAAAAAAAAACTAACCCTAAAGCAGGCCCCAAATCTGCTTCAGAGAATGTATAAGAACACATTGGGTTGAGGTCAGAAAACAAGGATTATGAGCCTGGTTTTTGTCATAACCGTGTGAGACCCTTGGCAAGTCACTCCATCTGTCTGGACCTCAATTTTCTTGTCTGTAAAATTAAGAGGCTAAAGCTAGATTTCCTTTGCAGCTCTAAAATTCTCTAATTCAATTCTTCTATATAGCCTCCCCTCCAGCCAGACTCACCAGCTTACTACAATCGAAACACACCCTGTAAATTCCTGCCTTGTACCTTTGGTCTTTCCCTTCTCCCCACCAGGATTTCTTTGCTTTCTTTTCTGCCCGCTTGAATTCCAGGAGGAACAACACAAATCCTACCTGCTAAGGAGAGCCTGGGCCTAGCCCACAAAGACTTCACATGTACCGAGCTTTTCTGACACTCGCACTTCTCATGTCCTGCTCTGCTGTTCAAAATCTTTTTCTGCATGAAGCTTTTTTATTCCAACTGAACTAAAATCTCTGCACTTTTGTGATTGCCTTGCAGAATGCTGAACACATAGTCAATAATAGCAAGCATTGTCACTAATAACTGACTGATGTGTGGACACATAGGAAAAAGTCCAAGCAGGGATCTAGATGTGATGCAAAAGTAGAAAGTAGAAGTAAATCTAGAATTTTTTGCACTTTACACAAGATTCTCAAATGCTTCCAAAAATCAGTAATTGACTTAATCCACAAAAAGTTACTGAGAATTTCCTGTGCTTAAGACATTGCTGACACGTCACAGGTGCAGAGGTGGGGAATAAGCAGTGACTCCAACAGCAGCTCTACTCACAGATATCATAGCGTCCACATTGTCTATCAACTTCTAACTTTTTAGGAACACCTTAAAAGGTGGCAGCTCCACCATCATCACACCCTTTCCTCCCCAAATTGGTCATGTATCTAATTCTCCCTCTAGCAGGCAGAGCTGTTAAATGGAAAAAACAAAATTAAAATTAAAACAGGTCAATAGATTAAAATATACATATCTAGGGTGCCTGGGTGGCTCAGTCGTTGGGCATCTGCCTTCGGCTCAGGTCATGATCCCAGGGTCCTGAGATCAAGCCCCGCATCCGGCTCCCTGCTCAGCAGGAAGCCTGCTTCTCCCTCTCCCACTTCGCCCTGCTTGCGTTCCCTCTCTCGCTGTCTCTCTCTCTCTGTCAAATAAATAAAATCTTTAAAAATATATATATACATATCTACCTACACAAGAAAGATAGCCTAAAACAAATCTCTTCCAGGAACTATATCCTGGCTATTTACTAGAATCACTAGTCCTTACTCTGACAGGTGTTTATAAAATGACCATAACAATATCCTTCTTTGGTATGATTTAACTGTTGTCCTCCATTAGTCTTGGTAAATGACACATATTAAGGATGAACACAACCTACACCTGTCTTTTGGGACCCCCCCATAGCATGCACGCACACACACACTCCTCTAATTAAATGGGGCAGGGACTTGAACAGTATCACCTATCTAATGACAAACAGGTTCGTAAGTAAGTGGGGGAAGTAAATAAGCCAAACGGTCTGCAGAGGGAGAGGTCAAGCTGGGCTGAGCTGGGCTGGGCCCAGAGTGATTCAGGCTCCACCACAGAATGGGTGTCTCCTGGGATGGCCTAGCAGGACAATTAAAACCCCTATAAGGAGGATGGGTTTTCAAGTCTCCAGTACCCGCTCTGGCTTCTGAATCTTCTGTTCATTCCTCCTTAAGCAGGTAAGGCATGCATTGGAAGGGGGGGATGGTCAGAGGAGTGGGTTATGGCAGTATCTACAAGGCTCTTCATAGCAGCCATAATGTGCTAGGCTGGGGAGGTCTGAGACTGTTCCCTGTGTGTGGCAGGTCTGGGTAGAATCCTGCTTTGTTTTTGGCTCTGAGAATATGACGATAGCTGGGGTGGCCCACTTCGGAGACTGTAAAATATGCATGTCTTTGTTTCAGCATGTCCTGGGCATCCCAAAACTGAGGGCTAGAACTATTGGTGGATAGCTTAGTCTCCCATAGTGGAGCACTGACCCTTCATGCAAGTAAGGCAAGACTGAAAAGTTTAGAGCTCATTGGGGTTGAGGCCCTAGACTACAGGGCCACAGTAACATTCACGTCTCATTGCAGTGAAATACCATAAGGAACTCAGTATGTCCCATGCAATTCATTGTGCCATGCATCCTTATAGGCATCACTGTATGCTTTTGGAATTCCAATGTGCTTTGCAGTTAGGGCTTCTTGGAGGCTTATAAACCCAGTAACTAGAATTTTTACAGCACAGGAAGAAATATCACTGAGATCCAGATCCCAAAAGGCCTTAGTTTTCCAACATGGCCATTGTGGAATCTAGCTGATTATATACACTTCCTATCATCTGTGCAGTTAATTTGGCTTGCTATTTTTATTGGTAATAGTTTTTATATTAATTTATTCTACTTTATAAGCATACCCCAAATGACCATCCAGGCCAGAAGTACTTGCTGTAATTTAGCTATCCAGAAAGCTTGCTTGGCCCATGGCAAGAGACCTCTAGCCTTCTTTCCCCCTTGAGCAATGGTCATTTGAAGACTGAGGCCTATTCAGTGGGGTCTATTTAGTGGTGGAAAATTATGCCTTACTATACTGGCTTCTGGCCCTGCCTCTGTGGGCCTCCTGATCTCCCTTCCTTTTTATTCTAATAAAAGAGTTTCAATCAAGCTAGTTCCACCTGGAGTAGGGGATGGGGCATGTAAACCACCTACCATATGTTCTTCACTTTTTAGGAAATTGTTACTTTTCCTAGTAAGGGACCCATAGTTTGTGCCCATCTCCCACTGTAGTACATATTTTGAGCCTGAATGTGGGTCAAAGGGAGTGAGGGGTATGGCTAAGAAGGGGCTCTATCATTTCTTAAACTTCTTTCCCTGACCAAAAAAGGCCACTTGCCCTCTGGAAATGCTATCTCCTGGTCTTCATCCTAAACACAGAAAAAATCTTGTTTCTTCTTTTAGGTTTACCCATTTTTGTTAAAATGGCTCAACTCCTGAACAGCATACTCACTGTGATCAAGGTGTTCCAGAAATATGCTAAAGAGAATGGGAAATGTACCTTGCTCTGCAAGAAGGAGTTGAAGCAGCTGCTCTTGGCTGAGCTTGGAGATATCCTCCGGGTAAGATGCATAGACTCTGGCCCCATGAAGTCAAGTGTGAGTGACTCTGACACTTGCATCCAGGGTTTGATGTTTTTTGTTTGATCTGGTCATGCTCCATCCACCCTGTAGCTAAAGATTTTCAGGCAGCTCCTCAGTACTTCTGTCCCAGCAGACACACGTGCTCACAGGCATGCACACACACACACACACACACACACACACACACACACCCCTTCTTATAGCTGAGCTTGACAGAAGGGAGCACAACTTCAAACCAGTAATAATTTCTCAGAAGAAATTCTAGATTCGTATCTTGATTTCTGTCCACACATCTTCTCATTCATCCATTCAAGTCATCCTAGGCACTGGGAATGCAAACATTAATAAAACCAGCTTCTCCTCCCTCTAGGACCTCACAGTGTGGTTGGAAAGAAATAAGTAAAAAATAATTACGATATAGCATGTGATGGGATGGAATAATCATGCCCCCACTGGTCCAGCAAGAGATGCGGTTCTGAGGACCAGTTGATCCGTTGGGCTAGAACCAAGCCCAAGCCATTTCAGATTAATGGTTTCCAACCAAGAAAGGCTCATACAGGAGTGAAGAGGCTGGGGCATAGATACTAGCACACAGTATCCACAGGAGAACAGCTGATTTTGCTCTTTGTTTTATTTTCTCACAGAGACCAAATGACCCAGACACGGTGGACACCATCCCAAGCCTCTTGGATAAAGACAGAAATGGACATGTTGATTTTCATGAATATCTCTTGTTGGTGTTCCAATTGGCCCAAGCCTGCTATCATAAACTGGATAATAAGTCATGTGGAGATAGAATCTCTCAGCAAGAAGGGGAGCAGGAGGGAACACGAGACCATAAGTTTCCAGAAAATACAGGCAGGCAACAAGGCAGAGGCATGAGGGAGAAAGGCAGGACTCCCACTGTACTCAGTCTGAGAGACAAAACCAGGATGTCCACCAGAATCAGTCAGAGAGACAGGATAGGGACTCCCACTGTGGTCAGTCAGAGAGACAGGATAGGGACTCCCACTGTGGTCAGTCAGAGAGACAGGATAGGGACTCCAGCTGCAGTCGGTCTGAGAGACAGGATAGGGATTCCCGCTATGGTCAGTCTGAGGGACAGGATAGGGACTTCTGTTACGGTCAGTCAGAGAGACAGGATAGGGACTCCCCCTATGATCAGTCTGAGAGACAGGATAGGGACTCCAGCTATGGTCAAAGATGGAGACATAAATCTAGCAGTAGCCTGCCTAAAAGACAAGGATATATCTTTGCCTTAAGTCAGTGTGAGAAACAAGTTCACGATTCTCATTATGGCCAGACAAACCAACAGGAATCAGGTTCTTATCATGAACAGTCTCAGAGGCTGGATCAGGAATCAGGCTATGGTCAGAGAGATAGACAAGAATTGGACTTTCAATACGGCCAGACAGACAATGCCAGAGTTCTCACTATGGTCAGACAGACAGACAAGGCCAAAGTTCTCAGTGTGGCCAGACAGACAGACAAGGCCAGAGTTCTCGGTGTGGCCAGACAGACAGACAAGACCAGAGTTCCCACTATGGCCAGACAGACAGACAAGGCCAGAGTTCTCACTATGGTCAGACAGAGAGACAAGGCCTAGGTTCTAAGTTTAGCCAAACAGACAGACAAGGCCAGAGTTTTCATTATGGCCAGACAGACAGACAAGGCCAGAGTTCTCATCATGGTCAGAGAGACAGAAAAGGCCTAGGTTCTCAGTGTAGCCAGACAGACAGACAAGGCCAGAGTTCCCACTATGGTCAGACAGACAGACAAGGCCAGAGTTCTCACTATGGCCAGGCGGACAGACAAGGCCAGAGTTCCCACTATGGCCAGACAGACAGACTAGGCCAGAGTTCTCACTATGGTCAGACAGACAGACAAGGCCAGGGTTATCATTATAGTCAGACAGACAGACAGGGCCTGAGCTCTCACTATGGTCAGTCAGAGATTGGGGTAACAGGGCAAAATAGTTACCTCCAAGGAAGTGAGGGAACAAGCAGAGACTCATATGTTGAGCAATCAGGAAGGTCAGGGAGACTAAGTCAAAAGACTCAAGGACAGGAAATGACTCGAAATCAGGGGCAGAGATTCCAGTCTAGGGAAGGCCAGCAGAACAGCCACCAGGCATGGGAGCCTGAGGAGGCTAGCCAACACCACCAACACAAACTCATTGCACATATCCAGCAAGAAAGGTCATGTGGTTACAAAAGGGGTGACTGGCAATCATGTGGTGGTGAGCAGGACCACAGACAGGCCCAGGCTAGGCAAAGTCATGGAGAGAGGCAGAGCCACCAGGCAGAGGAAGAGCAGGGCCACCAAAGCTGGGGCAAACATGGTTGTGAGAGTCAGGTAACTCCATGGGAGATGCAAGCCAGGCAAACCCATGAAGAGGAAAAAAGCCATCAGAGACAGGACAGGCAAACCCACGAAAGTGAGCAGACCCATCAGAGACGGGACAGGCAAACCCATGAAGATGAGCAGACCCGTCAAAGAAGGGACAGGCAAACCCACGAAGATGAGCAGACCCATCAGAGATGGGACAGGCAAACCCACGAAGATGAGCAGACCCGTCAGAGATGGGACAGGCAAACCCACGAAGATGAGCAGACCTGTCAGAGACAGAACAGGCAAACCCACAAAGATGAGCAGACCCATCAGCAACGAGACAGGGAAGCCCATGAAGAGAGTCAAAACTGTCAGCAACAATGGGATAGGCAAACCCTTGAGGAGAAAGAAAGGTATCAAGGATCCCGGGATCAACAATCTTATGGGACCCAGCAAGGCTGTGCTAATAGAGAAAAAATCCACATGAATGAGAATAGCCAGAGGCGAGGCTCACGGGGAAGACGCAGTAACCTGACCTTCCACCCCACCCAGAGTGGTGGGAGGCCCCCAAGGAGAGAACAGGGTGGAAGTCACCCTACCAAAGCATCTCCTACTCCCAACCCCCTCCATGACTATGTACAAGAGCAGAAAAGGAATCAGCATTAGGCTGTGCACACACCAGAGCTAAAAGCAACCTGAAGCTAGGGAAGAAATCTACATGTCAAGTTTATCCTTACTTCTGTTTAAGAGATTGAAAATGTATGTCTTTCTTCTCTCTTCTATCTGTTTGCAAGGATGCTTTTGAGAACTAGTATTCACTTTTAGGGCATGTCCATGCTTTGAGCAGCAATTCTAGGGTGTTCTGGTTGGGTTAAATCTGAGTGGTAAGTTGGGTGACATAATCAGATTCCAATTTTGATTACTTTGGGGATTTAAATCATTTCCTGGTTTTCCATCTGTGTAGGTGGGACATGGTTGGATCACTGAATGGTAGAAACTTCTCCCAAAAATTCAGAAACAGGAAAGGTATTCTGAAGATACATATTACAGCCTGAGGACAGGAAAGCTGGACTTTGGTGGCTTTGGGCTCCTGTGGACGAAACACTGGGAATTGCAAACCTCATAGCCTACACTAAAATGAAACATGGTGAGAGGCTTCTAGGAGAGTCATCTCTGAAGTCCACAATATCTCCCATGCCCAGGCTCCCACCCTTCACCAGAGGAACTGTCCCCTGAGCTGCTATCACTACAGCTGACTGGACTGGTTCCAGCTTCATATCTATCCAGTTTCTGATCATATAAAACACAGAGGAAGAATATGTCATCTGCTTGCAGCTTCCAGCAAGCCAAAACTGTCCATCCATAGCTCCTGAAAACCCTTCAAAGAAAATCAATGGAATTGTATTAAAATACCCAATAAATGATTGGTGAGCAATGATCTCAATGACTCTTTTCCTTCTTCATGGTGGAGACATGCTATCCTATCTTCACTTGGGTGCAGTTTTCCAAAAATAAGGCCTCATTTCTTGACTTCTAAGATGCCTTTGTTCTTTGAGTTCCTGAGCACTGAAGAAAAAAAGGGAGAAGAAGGAGGAGGAGGAGGAGGAGGAGAGGAATGGAAGAGAAAGGAGAAGGAAGAGGAAGAAGAGGAATTAATATGAAACAAATAACAAAAGGTCAAAAGGAATTTATCTAAATATTTTCAGCTCCTTCCCCCACAGAGGAGTCAAAGTTGACCGTTGCCCTCATTCACTTCCACATTCAAATGGTCATTAAGTCTTGCCAACTTTACATCCTTCATATCTCTTGGATCTCTTCCCACTTCTCCATTTCCCTCCCCTTTAATTTCCCTCCTCTTCAGTGACTCCCAGTGACTTTAAGATGAAGTTCACACTCCTTAGCACGACACCTAGGCCCTTCACCATCTGACCCAGATGACCTATCCAGCTTAGTCCCATGAAAAGCCCCTCCAAGGAGCACTAAGTCCTCCAGCCATACCAAGGACTTGACCTTTTCTTAGTTTATCAGGGTCTTTCATTAACTCATATCTTTGAATATACCATTCCATAGCCTGGAGTACCTCCCCACTGCTTCTGCCAGGTAAAAACCTGGGCATCCTCTGTGTCCCAACTAAAACATCACATCTTCTGGACAGCCTTCCTGGACACTCCAAACACTCCTTCCTTTACATTCCCATTCATTTCTCTTATAACATTTGTCACACACACACTATTGTGATTATCGCCCCTACCAGGGAATAAGATTGTATTGTACTCAACTATGTACTGCTCAGCACTTAGTGCAGCCACCAATGTCCAGGGGCACTCATAATTGTTTGCTGAATAGGTGGGCAGATGGAAGAACTTAGTCTGGCTTCAGGAAAAATTCAGCTAAAAATGTACATAGTAATATTTATGTAGTAACAGACAAAAGAGGCTAAATTTGACCCTTATTCAGTCAAGGGTGAAGGTGAATGAAACAGCAAACTTTTTTGATATTTTAAGCAATAGAACATTTAATGCCTAGAATTATAAGAGCTGAATTATTAGAAATCAGTAGGTGATGCCCAGAACTATTGAGGTCAAGACATCCATAGTACTGTAATCCAGCAATCAGAAAGCTGGGATCCAGAAGCTGCTGGCATCGCTCCCAAATCTGCCTGTCAACAACCATGTTCCATAACCCTGTTTACCAAAAGAAATAGCAAAAATCACCGTAGCTTCCAAATATAACATAAACACATCTAATTGGAAAAACATAATTCATATCCAGAACTCTAGCTACAAGGGAGTCTAGGAAATATAGAAGGAGATAAGAATGGATGTTGAGGGCCATTGGATTCACCATAGGAAGGATATATAGACTCATAACAGCAGCCCCTTCCCTCAAGGAGATTACAATCTAGTAAGAAATATGTGTACAGCAAACAACCATTAAGTAAAGCAAGATGTCATAAGTACAAGAAAATTGCTGTCATTATAGCAGCAATGTCCATAATAGCCAAACTATGGAAAAAGCACAGATGTCCAATGACAGATGAATGGATAAAGAAGATGTGGTATATATATACAATGGAATATTATTCAGCCATCAAAAATGAAATCTTGCCATTTGCAACAATGTGGATAGAACTAGAGGGTATTATGCTGACTGAAATAAGTCAATCAGAGAAAGACAATTATCATATGATTTCACTCATATGTGGAATTTAAGAAACAAATCAGAGGAGAATAGAGGAAAGGAGGAAAAAATAAAACAAGATGAAATCAGAGAGGGAGACAAACCATAAGAGACTCTTAATCATAGGAAACAAACAGGTTGCTGGAAGGGAGGGGGGTGGAGGGATGGGATAACTGGGTGATGGACATTAAGGAGGGCATGAGACATAATGAGCACTGGGTGTTACATAAGACTGATGAATCACTGAACTCTACCTCTGAAACTAATAATAATAAAAGTATGTTAATTAAATGAGCTTAATTTTTTTTTAAAAGGGGGGAAAAATGTTCATAGCAGCAATGTCCACAATAGCCAAACTGTGGAAAGAGCCGAGATGCCCTTCAACAGATGAATGGATAAAGAAGATGTGGTTCATATATACACCGGAATATTACTCAGCCCTCAGAAACGATGAATACCCAACTTTTACATCAACATGGATGGGACTGGAAGAGATTATGCTAAGTGAAATAAGTCAAGCAGAG